TTTTTTTTTTTTTTTTTTTTTTTTTTTTTTTTTTTTTTTTTTGTCAACACGAATTCGATTTGTTCTTAATAATAAAAACTCTCGGAGTCAGATATTGGGGTTAAAGCTGAAGATCAGAGAACCAGCACAGCCAGTAGAGAGTTTGCTCAGTCTGAAAGGGTGATCCTGTCCTGTTTTAGACTACATTGTTCCTCAGACTGCACTGAGCTCCTGCCTCCTCCTGCCTTATATTCCTCTCTAGTACAGGGATTAAAGGCATCCCAAGTGCTGCGATCAGCTTTGTGTGAGCTCTGTTTCTCTTTTACACTGGATCAATTTTGTATAGTTGAGGGTAGCCTTAAATTAACAGATCCATCTGCCTCTTTACCTAGTGCTGGGATTAAAGATATATACCACTTCCTGGCCTCTGTGGCTAGCTTTGCACTTTGATCTTCAGGCAAGCTTTATTAGATCATAAACAAAATATCACCACAAAAGCAACCTAGGGAGGGTGGGGACCTGAAGGCAGGAAGGACTGTTTGCAGCATTACCTCTGACCAAGAATTCCCAGCCAAGGAAAAGAAGCAGGATATATGGAGGAGGATACAGCTGTGCTCAGCAAGATTTCTTATACAGCCCAGGCCTTCCTGCTTAGAGATAATGCCATCCCCAGTAGTCTGGGCCCCCTCACATCAGTCACCATTTAAAATAGTCTCATAGACATGACCAATGCAGATCTGGGCAATTATTCAGTTGAGGGAAAACCAAGCCAGGACACACCCAGTTACCATAAAAGAGTGGCTCCCTGGTGCTCCTGCCTCAGCTTCATGAGTGCTGGCGTTTCCGGTATGCACTATCATGGCTGAGTTTTATTCCAGGTTTAATTTGATCTTTCTCAGTTTTTCTTTTCATTTGTTCCTGAATCCAGTTTAGATAACACACTGATTAGACTACTGTCTTGATCTTTTCTAGTCTGATAACTTTGTTGGTAATTGTCTTTGGTTATAGTCTTGAAGGATTCTGCCCATGTCATACTTAGTTGGGTTTCTGTTGCTGTGAAGAAACACCATGATCACAACACCTAGGCATTTAATTGGGGCTAGCTTACAGTTCAGAGGTATAGTCCATTGTCATGGAGGGAAGCATGGCAGTGTGAAGGCTGACATGGAGCTAGAGCATCTGAGACCTCAAAGCCCTGGCTCCAATAATGCTCCTCCCTGTAAGTCTGGGGGGGACATTTTCATTCAAACCACCACACATACCTATTTCCTACCCCACTGGGTTAGGCATGTTTTTCTCCCTGTGGACTAGGGCTGTAGGTTTCAAAGAACACCACAGGGGAGGTACTCCCTTCTGATCTATGAAGCATACATTCCCTGGCAATGTTAACCTCAGCATTTAGGGCATTCTGATCCTTTTCCCTAACATTCTTAAGTAATATTAAATGTACTTCACCAGTAAAGGAATGGGGAATGCAAGATCTACCTCTTGTTGGAGGTGTTATCCAGGATGTGGCATCTCCCTAGGAAAGACTTGTTTTTCCATTTGCTCATATTTTCAGGTGCCTACACTTGTCACTTATTTTACTACTTAGATGGTTTTATATTTGGTCCTTGAGAATTTCAATTGTCTTTTATGTGTCCACTGACGAACCTCCCTTTTCGAATGGAAAAGAAAGTGGATGGAAGAATTATCAGATCTCATGATTGGAACCTATGGCAGTAGAGATAATAAAGAGACAGCTTCAAAGAAGCTTTGTTGGGTATGTGTAGCCTCAGGAGTTTGGATCCTGCTACATGCAAATACACCAATAGTTGTTTTATGTCAGTTTAACTGAATGAAAGGTATCAGGATAAGTGCTCCTAAACTACTGGGCAAATGGTAATAGATAAAGCCAAGCACCACTAATTACATGCATGTACCAGTACAGTCTTCAAGATAGCAGCTGACTTCCCAGATGCAAGGCAAGCCATCTGTACAACATAAAATACAGGAGTATAGATGTGGTACTAACCTGCCATTACTGACCTAAAAGAATTCACCACTAGGTCTCTGACCAAAGCCTGTGAAACACCATTTTGTGATTGAGTCTTGATGGCATGGGACAACATCTGTATGAATATATTTGGTGGGGCTTGTAAGTGCTAACGGTCCATTGAGGGGGAGGCGGAAGTGTACTCTGCACAGGATGGTTGGTTGATGCAGTGATCCACCTCGTCTTAAAGGTAAGCTAATTTACACACTGAACCCCAAAGCAGCCTCTAAATGGAATCAAAAGGTAATGAGCCTGTGGCAGAGAAGTAATCCTGCATAGTCTTTAAAAGAAGCACACAGAAAAGTATTTCCAGTAAAGCCAAACAATATCACTAGTGACATTCCAGCAGCCCAGTTAATGGAAAGGTATGCCTTGAAAACTACCACCAACTTGTCTGGCATAAGTTACCAAAGAACACAGCAAAAGGAACTACTCTCGAGTATATATTTCCTACTATATGTAGGAATATAGATTTTGTTTTTGTAATAAAATACCCTCACAATAGCTTTAAAGGGTGGGTTAATTTGGTTCACAGAGTTCAATATGCAGCCAATCAAGGCAGCAGGATCTCAAAGCAATTGGTAGCACTCAGAATCAGTAGAAAGCTACAAGGCATGCTGCTACTCAGTTCCCTTTCTCAAAGTTGGAAATTCCTGTGTCTGCAGATTGTCCCACCCATAATTAGGGTGAGTCCTTCCCATCAGTTACTGTAATCAAGTTAATCCAGGACTCTTCACACAGCTGATTCTAGATTCTGCAGAGCTGAAAAGGCAATGCTCTGAAAACATCTGGCTGCCTGAACGAACTGGACAGAATAATGTCAGCAGTCAAGATAAGGATAGTTTCTTTTTCTGGGGCTAACTTTGCCACAATGAAAGCAAAGTCCATATGGAGGTTCTTCAATACCTACCATTCTTTTTTTTTTTTTTAAGTAAATTGGTACTGTAGCAGATATGTTTCTTTCATGAAAAGCCTTATGCCATTAAAATATTTTAAATGCCATATTCTACGGATCTCTGAAGTGTTTGAAGAGCACCTATCTAAAACATACCCTGTTAAGCCTTGAAAACATACCTAACATGACTACAAGTTTGATTGTTACACATGACTGCTAACCTGCGTTTCCTAATTGTACATTACGTTTTTTAATGAGCTGCATAGGTACAGTACCTTAAAAGTAGAAACATACAGTATTTAAAACAAAAATAATTCTAAATTTATATCAATTCCCAAAACTCCATACCAATGTAAAATATTTAATAGTTGCTTTTTGCTTTTTAGTTTAGAAATGCATTCAATAATCTACCCTTTTATCCTATCATTCCCATATACCCCTTTTCCTTTTCAGATTCTTGTATCCAGACTCCCTTGTTTAGTTTCCTCCCTTACCTTGACCAGAAACAATTTGCAACCAACCCTCCTTAAATGATAGATATACATAATCCATTGAACAACCAAAAACTATCTACCCCACCTATTGGGAGTGTGGGCATCGTGTTCTTAAAATTACTATTGCCTGGGTGTGATGGCATCTTTAGGGGACCCTGAGAAAATGGAGGAAATGATCAAGTCCTGGGATAGCTAGCTGTATCATTTGTTGTCCAGTATCTCTGTGGTAGGAAATTGTAGAGCTTCTGATGTCCTGGCTAGAGTAGTATGTGGGACTGAACCATCTCAGCTAGAAGCTTTGAAGTTCTGGATGAAGATGTTTGAGCAAAGTGCAGCAGAGGCATTCTGAGAAGCTGGATCACCTGGGCTACTTTCCTTCATTGGTATCTGGTTTTTGTTTTGTTTTTTTCTGCAAACATGGAACGTTTCAAGGTAACATCTGTATTTATACAAATATGAAATGTGCAGTGTGCACGAATCAGCTCTATGTTTGAACAGGTAAAGGGCATCTGTCAACTTCATGAGGCTATTTGGACTGCAAAATCTAACTAATAAAAATCTCTACCTATGCGGTATAGTCATGAAAACTATATAGCCAATAGATTTAATATGTCTCATTCAGTCTCTGAGCTCTTCCCATGTCTAGGGATCAGCATACATGTCACCTGTCTTGTTTTTCTTGGTGTATTCCTGTCTGTAACCAAGACTTTCAGGAGGTCTTTCCTGGTCAAATCTGATCTCTAACCTTTCTCCCAACACAACACATTTTCTGACTTCCATTTTGAAGTTAAGAGGCTGGTTTAATTCAGTAATTTTCCCCACAATCCAGTATCTCTCAGCAGCTGCTGTTTTGTTTTTTATTCATTGACATTTTAAAAAGTCAAAGCCAGCAAAGCATCATGCAGGATCTAGATACCATGTGTATTTCCCATTATATGTCTTATTGTTTTTACATTACTTTCTCTTTAAAGACTTTATTATTTTTAATCTATTTTTCTATAACTGTCTAAATCCTTTCTGTTTTCTTTCTTCAGTATCTAAACACATTTTTAAACGTATTGTATCAGTTCAGAGTGTTTTCTGGTCTGGACCTGACTTTTTGCATGCCTGCCACCTTGCACCTACAGCATTCTCTGACCATGAGAGACAGCTCAGATCACCCACTACATGTTAACACTTGACGCTGGTGGCTGACTTTA